TCCTGGAGGAGGGATGGCCTGTCCCACCCCTGCTCTTGCCTGGAAAAGTTGTTTACTCTGGGAGAGACTTGGGAGAGAGGCCTGAGCCAACTTGACATTCCCTGAATTCCAAGTGCATGCATGCTTGGGGCCCTGGTTGGGGGGTACTGCTTTTTGGGGCAGTGGCATCCTCCTCTCTCCTACCCTCTACCTCCTCCCTCCAGCTCTGACTTTCTAGGAGAGGACCTGGACCAGAGAATCCTGAGGCCGCCCCCTTTCAGCCCGTATGCCTGTCCCTGGGCACTTGCCCCTCCCTGGCTCTGTGTCTCAGGCCTGTCCTCAGCTCTGAATCAGGCTAGACCTGAGGACCTTGGAGAGTTCAGAAGTCAGCCCTGCTCCGTGCCTCCAGTCTGGTTGATGTGTCCCTCCGTGTGCATTTGGGGGCAGAAGTAGGCTGGGACCTGGGCCAGCTCAAAAAATCCCTCTCTCCCGGTGAGCAGTAGGTGGGACCCAGGCTTCCAGAAGGGTGCACAGTGGTGCCAGGAGCAGGAGGTGGTTATGCTTCTGTGTGGGGTCCAGGCACCAGGATGTGTGGTTTGCATCCTGCTTGGCATGGTTCCTGCCAGAGGAGGGGTCACTTCTGAGCAGGGAACAAGGGAAAACTGTGATTGAAGTTCTGGCTGCTGAGCCCCTCCCCACCCTGGGCATCGCCCAGGAAACAGGTCAGCTACAGGTGGGAGGGTGGTGGAGGCTAGGGAGCAGAGCCCTGGGCTGGAATTGAACTGGCTGTGCCTCTGGCCAGTTTCCCCATCTGTAAAGCTCTGATGGGACCAGAAGCTGTCATCCAAGAATGGCCATGGTGACTCTCTCCTGGGAACCCCAGCCTCACCCCCCGCATCTGTGCCTTCTGGCCCAGCCCATCTGGGACAGATGGGTATTGTGGGTGTGCTCGGTGGGGAGTATGCTGCACGGGTCCTACCTTGCTGGCATTGCACACACCCTGCTCATCCGGTTGCTAGCTGTGTGCTGAAGGTTCCAGTGTCTGCTATCCAAGTGCCTCCTCACAGTTATGGGAGTCCTGGCAAGTGGGGGTGTGCAGTAGTGGTGGTGACTAGTTGGCTTAACCCCATGACCCTTTGGACACATACCTAGCTGGGAGCATTTGGAACATCACTGTCATCCATCCCAGGTGCCCAAGAAGGATATGCTAGCGACTGTTCTGTAGGAGTGCCTGGCATGGGGGCACCTGGCCTGGGTTGGCTTAGCTTTGTTCATACATGGGCACCCCAAAGGTTTCATTGTGTCTCCTCTACCCCCATTCCCATGTGACCTCCAATAGAGAGACACCTCGGGGTGAAGGGGAGGAAGCAGGGGAAGGTGCTGAGCTCAGGTGTTCCAGGAGGAGAGACTGGGGCCCTTTTGATGACCACTGAGAGACTTCCCACCCCATCCCTGTTCTCTGTCCCTCCCTGAAGTGGGTGGGGAAGTATGAGGAGTGTGTCCAGTCTCCAGGAGCTCAGATTAGGCTGGGAGGGAGATGGTCCTACTTGGGCTGTGTGCAGCTTCTGGTCCCTGCTTGAGTTATTGGGGTGTCGCCCTGCCTGGCCGGGTGTCTGCAGTGCCCTCCCTGCCTCCTGCTTTGCTGTCTCCCTGGGCCAGCTGGGCTGTGTGTGGAGCCCCGGGCCCTGAGCTCCCGAGCCCGGCCTGTACTACCCTCCCACCGAGGGTCTCAGAGACATTGCTCTGCTGCCTGCTGCCTGCCGCCTGCCCTGGGCTGCTGTGGGCAGCCTGTCTTTGGAGTTTGGGGAGGTCCTCTTTGAGTAGGATGTGTTCTGGACAGGTAGGTACCGTGGTCTTCTGTGGCTCACCCCCCAGAGTTTCCCACCCATACCTCCTCCCACGTAGCCAAGGGCATTCTGTCTGGGGACCCTGATGGCAGATGGATGAGCTTCATGGGACATGGCTGGCTGAGCAGGCCCCTTCCTGAGTGTGGGTATCAGTCTGCTGAGAGCGAAGAGGGGTGGGGAATGGGTACACCTGGTGGGCAGTAGATGATGCAGGCAGCTCTCTGGGCACTGGCCGTGGGGTGGACCCCACTGCATGTCCCCACATGCATGTCCTGGCCGTGTGCCTCTGCATGTCTCTGAGCACGTGTGTTCCTGCCCGGGCGTTATTTGTGGGCCAGTCTGTGATCCTGCTTGAGCGTCTGGGAGGATGGGGTGGGCGAACTTGAAGAACAGTCCCTGTTGGAAAGCTGCCCTGGTTTGGGCCACTGGTCAGAGGCCTGGCCCTGGAGTCTGGCTGTGCACCCCTCTCTGCCTCCGCTGGAACACCTCCCTCATGGCCTTGGGCACCTGCAGGGGAAACCACTTGTAGTGTGGCCTGCATCCTGCCCTTCTCCTGCAGAGCTCCACCCTGCCCGGCTGTGCTGACCGTTCACCAGTCCACTGGTCTCTTTCCCGTGGTGAGCCAAGGTAGGTCATGGCTGGGCAGTGCATGGTGGGCAGCGCGAGGCCTGCCTCTTGGTCTTCCACACCAGGCCCAGAGGCCTGGCCTGCTGGCTTTCAGGCTCTGTGGAGGATGGGACCCTGGTGGTGAGGGGCTGGGCACTGGGCCAGGGAGGCATGGTGTCCCTACCCTGGGCCCTGCTGTGGACAGGTGACATGCCACTGTCTGAATCCAACTTGGCAGCAGAAGTGAGCCCAGTCCTTGCTGGACTGCCTTGGGGCCCTGGGTTGGGTGTCGGGTTTCCTGTCAGATGGGCCTCATCTGCTAATGTGGGTGTTGTGTGCAGGGTCTGGGAGAAGGGAGAGCAGTGCAGGTGCGGGCACACTGGGCTGGCATCCTGAATGCTGGGCTCAGTACCGGAGCTCGGACCAGGTCCCTTTTTTTCCTCCCTTTTCCCCAGACCCTCTGGCACCTCTTGGGGCACCCTGCCCATAACCGTTGCCCTTCCCGTTTCTGCCACTCGGGGTGCTGGGAAGCTGGGGCTCAGGATTGCCGGGCTCTGGGTACCCTGCTCTGGGAGTCAGGCTGTGGGGAGACTGCCCTGGGCTCCCCACTTAGCTGGCCGTTCCTGTTCTTGGTCTTCAAGGAGGGGGAAGCTGACTGCGTGGGCACTGCTGGGGATCTGGTGGTCCTGTGGTTGAGTCTGTGTGTCCCCAGGCTGCAGGGCCACCTAACAGGGAGCCTAGCAGTTGACTCCGGAGCTGGGGGAGTGTCAGTGTGTGTAATGTAATGTGGGTGGTGATTTTGGTTCTAGAGGTCAGCATCTCTGGTCAGCCCTCAGCCTTCCCTGGAACCCTGTGGCTTCTGTCCTTCTTGTGTCCACAAGTGCATTCACTTTCCCCAAGCCCTGTGTGTCCACCCTCGGGTGTGCAAGGCTGGCTCTTGGGCAGGGGGTAAGGGGATCGCCAGGGGTCTTGAGGGGTCATTGTTTGCTACCTGCTCCCTGGGCAGAGCTGTGGGCAGTGGTCTCTGCAGGGCCTTGAGGGAGGACTCTGCTTCCTGCTTCTCAGCTGGGCTCCTGGTATGTGGGCCCAGAACACCAGAGAATCCTTAGGGGATGAGGGAGGTAGTGGGAAGCCCCAGGCTGGCCATGTGGTAGGCGGAGACCTCCTGATAGGCTCCCTGTACACTGGGCTTCCTGTGCCAAGGCTGGGGCTGCAGATCCTCACAGAACCCTCAGGGGGCAGCAGAAGGCTGGTCCAGAGGGGTGGACCTCACTGGGTACCCACGGTTCCCAGAGGCCACGTCCCACTTTTAAACTTTTTTGATAGTTGTAAATGGACAGCATGCCTTTATTTTATTTGTATATTTTTTTTATGTGGTGCTGAGGATTGAACCCAGTGCCTCCCATGTACAAGGCAAGTGCTTTGCCACTGAGCTATAGCCCCAACCCCATCTCTTTCTTTTTAAAGGCTTTTAGATCTGGTCAGCCCTGCCAGTGGGCACCCCTCCTTTCCCTCTGTTGGCCCTTCCTCATTTCTTCTCCTAGCCTCCACTCTGCTGGGGACTGTCTGGGAGCTTGAGCCAGGCCTCCCTCTTTGGACTGAAGTTTCCGGGACTGTCCATGGAGTGGGCACCACTATTATGACCATCATGGTGACAGGGAAAGCCAGGGTGCAGAGCACATTTGTGGCTGCTGTGGTCCCCCTGCCTCTGCCCAAGCTGGCTGGAGCTGCAGAGACATGGGGTGGTGCATGGGCCCACATCTGTCCTCCACCTTTGTGGGCATGTGGCGGGCTGTTGGAACTTGTGCTCACCAGCGCATGGTCATCCATGCCTATTCCTCTGTTTGCTGGTGCCTGGGAGGGGTGGGGCCTCTGGCTACAGGCTGAAATTCAGGACATCTGGTTCAGAAATTACAGAGAATTTCAGATGGTATCAGTAGATTCTCAAGACCAACATTCACTGTTTGGTTGCTTGTGAAGCAGGCCCTGCTCCCCAAGTCTAGGAGATAGGACTGGGGAAGGAACCCAGCCTGAGCACCCTGGGTCTGTGGAGAATTGCTGGTTTCTTTGGGGTCACTCCTGTGCTCCTCTGTCCTGGTCCCTCCTTTAAAGTGAGTAAACCTCTCAGGCAATCCCTCTGGGGCATCCAGGGCTCCCCAAGGTGCCTAAAGCTGGAGCCACGTTGCCACCAACAGCAACGGGGTCACCCCTAAATTTGCACAGAGCTTTGCCCATCCTTAGCACGGGTCGAGGTTGCTCTGCCACCGTTGGGTGGCAGGCCAGTGTGGGGTGAGGTGGGCCAGGGGCGTGGGCTGGGGGATGAGCTGCGGGGCTTAGTATCTGCCCCCTCAAAGGCTCCTCTGGCCTCGGTGGGCCTCTTCCTTACCCCGCAAGGGAGGGGGCGCGCCCCGGGCCAGGCGATTGGCCGGCAGGGCGGGGCGGTGCGGCGCCGGATTGGCGGGCGGCGCGGGGCGCGGCGGCAGGCAGGTGTCGGGCAGCGCGGAGCTGCGCCCGCTGCCACCGCCTGCTGCCACCGCGGGGCCGGGCCAGGGCGGGATGGGGCGCGGGATGGGGCGGCCCGGGACCGCGAGCGCAAGGCGCTGACTGCGGCCAGAGCCGGTGCTCCTGGCGGCCGTGGCCCCGGCCACCCCGGCGCAATGCGCCGCTCGAGCACGGACGAGTCCACGTACCGGCGCAGCCCGTCGCCGGAGGGCAAGGAGCCGGGCTTCACGCGCGGCGGCCCCTTCCGGCGCTGCAGCAGTCTGTATGGGCGCGCGGGCACCGGGGACGCTGAGGACGCGGGCGGCAGCCCCTTCTTCGGCCTCCACGCGAACCCCGGCCCCAAGGCGGCTCAGGCCCGCTACACGTCGCCCAAGGGCAACAAGTACGTGGTCTTCTACCTGGACCTGTCCTTCATCTTCCTCCTAGAGCTGAAGCGCTGCAGCATGGCGCGCGGCTGCCTCCAGGGTGTCAAGTACCTCATGTTCGCCTTCAACCTGCTCTTCTGGGTGAGTGCGCGGGCAGCGTCGCTGCTCGAGGAGGGCTGGGGGCCAGGACCTGGGGGGGGCCAGGACCTGGGGAGGGCCAGGGGCTGCTGTCTGGCTGACCAGCCGCGGGGTGTCGCCGGACCTCTGCTTTCCTGGGCTGCCCGCCTGCCCCTCCTGCTGAGACAGGATGTGTTGCGCACGTGCACACCGGATGGGGCTGGGCCATCCCGACCCTGAGCCTCTGCTGGGGTGGGGGTTCCAGTCCTGGTCAGGGCCAGCACTGCGCCGGCACCTACCCTCTGCCTCYGGGCCTCCACAGCCTGCATCCTTGCCTCGCCCCCTTCTACTGTAGCGCCAACCCTGGGACTCCTTCCCCAGGACTGCCCTGAGGAAACTTTGCCAAGCCTAGGTGGACCCCAGTCACCCAGAGGGCCCCAGAAATAGTGTGCAGGGCCTGAGTGAGCGGCAGGACCTTAAGGGACTCCTGGGCGAGCTGGGGAGGCGCTGGCTCCCGGCCTCCCTAACTTGTAGAGGTGCAGCGGGGATTGCTGACCAGCAAGAGCGGCAGCAGGGGTTGGGACTTGCCTGCTGGTGGAGCAGAGGGTGACCCCCTCCAGCCTAGAGCACCAGGGAGGACCGACCGGCAGGTTCCACACCTGGCTGCTCTGGAGCAAGCTTGGCTAGACCCCCCCCCCCCAGAGGAGCTGGGGGCGGGGCCTCCCATTACCTGGGCTGGGCCTGGGGCTTCCCTGGCTGGGCTGGGAAGGATGGGTGGAGAAATGACACCCAAGGTCATTCCAGGCTCTGTCCTTAGTTCCTGTGCGGACTCTCCTTTTACCACTGAGTCAGGAGTGAGGAGACGCAGCTGAGCTCAGACTTCCGAGGTGCTGCCATATGCATGTGGTTCAGTTCTGTCACAAGCCGTAACCTGGGTCCACCTTCTGGCCTGGCCCTGGCTTGGGGCAGGGGCTGGGGGTCACAGAGAAGGGCAGCCATCCTGGGCTGCCTGTGGGGAGTAACTCCAGAAGGGGTCACCTCAAGGGTTTGTCCTCTGCAAGAGGGTTCTGGGAGGGGCAAGACCCAGGCCTCAGGCTGAGCAGTGCCCTGCAGGCCAGGAAGTGGGCAGCAGGGTGGGTGTGTGGGGAAATGTCTTCCTGGTAAGATTGGGCAGCTTCAGTGGGCACCAATGTGGTCAGTGCAGGGTCAGCAAGTCCCCAGCAGTGGGAAGGGGAGTGGGTGGTGGTGTGAAGAGACAGGCAGCCTAGTGGCAGGACCTGGCAGGAGATGGGGACCTGCTTACCCTCTCTTCCCTGACCTGGACACCCGTCTGCAGGGAAGAGATGAAGGGAGCCTCAAAGGGGATCTCAGAGAACAGTCTGGGCCCCCCCTGTGGGACCTTGCACCCCATAAGCACCCTACAGCTGCAGAGCGGGCACATTCTGCTGTTCCCTAAATGATGTCCTCCACCTGGGAAAGAAGAAATCAGCAGTCCCTGGGGACCTCCTAGGCTGGAAAATCTGATTCCCTTTTATTATCCAATTATGCTCCCCAGCCTCAGACCTAAGTCCCTTGCGGCTAGTCTCACACACCTGCCTGCCACCCTCTCCCCAAGTGGTGCCCAGTAGGTCTGAGGCCTGGGACCAGAGCAGGGGCTGGGTCCTGGGCTGGAGGCCACCACAGGGGAGTACGCAGGGCTGTGAACAGGCAGGACTGGGCAGGAGACCCTGTGCTGGGCTTAGGGGAGCTTCCTGCCTTGGTCCTGGCAGGTGTGAGGTCCACCTGTCTTTTCCCTGAACCCCTTCTGAACGGTGACGGGCTGTGGGTGGGAGAGGTGGGGCTGGTTCATTCCTGACCTGGGGCCCTGTGCCCCTTGTTGCCCTCTAGGAGGGACTTGGCCCCCACTCCATTTCCCACTCACATTGGGAGATCAGCTGACAGGACTTCCCCTGCTGCGTGGCTTCCTTGACCTCCCAGCTGGAGCTAACCCTGCAACCAGAGTTCAGAGGGCACCCACCCCGTGGCCCCTGCTGGGACGCCCCTGGCAGCTGCCTCCCCCAGCCGACTGGCTCTGTGGGTAGCAGTGGCTTTGCCCAGCCTTCCTTAGAGATGTGCCCAGTGGAGTGGCAGGTCAGACTCGGGGTCCCTGACCCGGGGTGTCCCCCGGCAGGCCATCCTGTGGGAGAATGAGTGCAGGGCCCATGAACGAGGTGGGGTGGGCTGTGGTGCCAGTGGTGAAGGGGTGGGGATGGTGTGGCCCCGGGGACCCCTGTGTTCAGGCCTGAAGCTGTGTCATCAGCTGGGTCTCTGCCAGCCAAGCTCTTCCAGGTCCCCAGGGGTGGAGCGGCAGCACAGCAAGCTCTTCCTGCCCCTCCCCACCCCTGCCCTAACTTGGGGCGCTGCCCACGGGCSGTGGCTCCAGCCCAGGGGCCAGTCTGAGTGGGGCCGAGCCTGCCAGCAGGATGGGGATGCCTCCCTAGCTGTACGTGGCCGGGGGCTGGCCTGGACCTCAGCCCCACAGCTGTCTCCCAGACAGTGGCCCCTCCCCACTCTGCTCAGGAGGCCTCCCTCCTGATGCCCTTCCCAGCCTTTCTCAGCAGAAGCCCCCAGCTGCTCCCTGCCTGCTGTGGTCAGGGACTATCTAGGTGGCCAGAGTAGGGGTCGGAGCCCGACCTGCCAGCCTGGCTCCACTACCCAGACGCCAGGACCTCAGCAAGTCCTGCCTTGCTGGGTGCATCAGTTTCTTCCTCGGCACCCCCCGGGCGCTGTGCCTCAGGTAGGATCAGGACCCCAGAACAGAGATGTGGGAGGACCCTCATCTGCCCATTGCCTGTGCTGAGCCCAGGTGGGCAGAGGCCCCAGGTTGGAGGAGGTGCAGGGTATAGGCTGTGCCTGCCATCTCCCCTGGGAGGGGGCCTGGGCCGCTCCCCGTGGTCGCCTTGGAATCTAAAGGAAGGTCCTGCCAGTCACCAGGCAGAGGCCTTGCCTAGCCCTTGGTGAACTGAGATGATGTTTGACAGTGGCTCTGTTGCTGGCCCTTGAGGAGGGTGTCCTGAGTCTGATGGAGGAGGGGACAGCAAGGGCAGAGCCAGGACACTGAGGGAACCCTCCATTTACTGCCTGTGTCAGCCAGGAGCGGGATGACAGGAAAGCACACCCCAGGGGGAAACCACAGTCCTGCCTGCCCTGCAGAGCAGGAGGCTCCCGATGGGCTGCTGTGGCAGGGTGGGGGTCGCCTGCCCAGCTGTGGGTTCTAGGCTGGTGCTCTGCTGGGTGGGCAGGTCTTGGGACTGGACAAATTACATCCAAGTTTAAGTAAGAAAACTCACTCTACCTGGTGGCCAACCTCCCAGCCAAGACCAGTCATGTTTCTGCCAACCTGGCAGGAGAGGGGCTTCTGCAGGGACCTAGCCTTCCACCCTGTTCCAAGGACGTGGCCAGCCGCTTGTCCATCTGCTGCATTGTGCTTTGTGGCCGGAGGGGTGGTGGGTGGAGGGCTGGCTGGCACCAGCCCCAGTGGACCTGGAGAGGGCACATTTGATGGATGCCAGGCACTACCAGCCTCCACGAAGCCAGGGGCTGCCATGGGTATCAGTAGTCAGCAGAGCTCAGGGGCCAGGTCAGCTGCACAGATAGCACCCAGAAGTCGGTCGTGTGCAGCCTCTCTGCGTACCCCTACTGCCCAACCCATCCCTGTTTGACTTCCAGTCTTCAGATCTCTCTGAAACTGCTTGTGTCAAGATCACCAATGAAGTCTGTTACGATCTCTTCTCAAAGCTGGGCTGGGGACATGGACGCCAGGAAGCCCCTCTCCTTTGTGTCTCTCAGCTGCCGTCCCCCAGGATGCCTGGCTCCCGCCCACAGTGAGAGGCAGTCTGTCTCTGGGGGCTGGAGAAGGAGTGCTGGAGCGGGAGGTCCCAGCCCCCCAAGTCTGACCCCGGAGACGACCAATCCAGCCTCCCAGCCCTTGAGCTCTGTCTTTTGTGTCTGTCTCTGAGGCTAATGAGCCCATTTCTCCCGTACTACGAGGCTGTAATTTTAAGCAAAAATTTTAAATTTTTTATTAGTTGTTGATGAACATTTATTATTTGTCTATATGTGGTGCTGAGAACTGAACCCAGGGCCTCACACATGCTAATCAAGTGCTCTACCACTGAGCCACAACCCCAGCCCAAGGCTGTAGTCTTCCTGCCCAAATGTTTTTAAAGCTGCATGTGCAGAAATACTTTTGAAGTGACAGGTTCAGTGACTTTCCTTGCCTGTGTGCCCATGCCTGCTGTTTGTGGGAGGGGTGGACCCCAGGGGACAGTGGGCTCCAGGGTGTAGTATCATGGGACCATGTGTGTGTACTGCTGTGTGGTGTGAAGAGTGTCTGGTGGTGTGGGCTGGTGTCGCCTGTCAGTGTGGGCAGTGGCCAAGTAGGTGGGCAAGGTGTCTGTGGAGTGCTCAGTTCTCAGGGTGGGGCTGAGGTGTAGGGTCCCGACCTGCCCAGGCTGTCCTGGGGACTGGCCCACCTCCTGGAATGGGCACTCCTCCTTGGGGCCAGCCCTTCTCCACGGTGGTGTCCAACCCATGCCCTGTGTGTCCCGTGCCGGGGCTGCCCCAGCAGCCTGCTTTCCTGCTGACACACGTCTGCTGCCCTTGAAAGGCAGAGGTGGATGGTGCAGGCAGTGGGGCTTTGAATGACATTTCCCCGTTGTGCTGGTACCTCCCCTCTGCTCGGGGATTGCCCATCACTGGCCTGGGTGCTCAGCCCCAAGGTGCGGCCCTCCCAGTGTGACTGGCCACAGCCAAGGCTGCACTGAGTCAGGCATCAGGCCTGGGGTCAGCCCTGTGGGTGGGCCTGACCCTAGGGCCTCTTACTTCCCTATGGTGTCCAGGCCCCTCCACGCAGACCCAGCGGGCCTTGGGGAGCCCTGCCCTCCAACCTCCCTGGCCCTGCTAGGGCAGTGCTGGACAAGGTCGAGTGTGTCTCCCCCTGGTGTTCCCGCACAGCAGCTCAGGTGCCTGTTTTCCTCGTTACCCAACTGGGTCCTGGAAGACCCACCAGGCCTGGGGACTGCTTTAGGCCATGAACATGGCCTGGGGCACACCAGGGACCCTGTCTGTCAGGGCTCGTGGAAGCTTTGTGTTTGGGGCATGATGCAGAGGACATGGTCAGGAGGAGTACGAGGTGAGCAGGTGCCTGGCCAGGCCTCCCCCACCCCCAGGAAACATCAGTACCCACTTGCGCAGCATCCAGCCGCCACCCCTTGCCTTGCTTGTTCAGCACCACAGATGGCACCCCACTCCCAGCTGCTGGTCCTGCGGGTGGAGGGCTTTCCTCCATCCCATGGCAGAACTTGGTCCCACAGCAAGGGGACATTTGTGCCACCTGAGGCACATGCACCCTTCTCCATTTGCCAGGGTCTCCTCTGTGGCAGCCCCTGGCCAGGTTTGCTCAGGAGCCATCTGAGGGTGTGTGGCAAGGCCTTCTGCCAGGTCCACAACAGCCCCTCCCTGGGTCCAGAACAGAGGGACCCATGCTTTTCCTACGCTTGCCCTGGCCTGGCCTGGGAGAGTCCCACAAGCACAGTGACCAGTCTCAGGGGTCAGCAGCTCCCAGGTCAAGCTGAGTTCACAGCATCTAGATGTTCTGTTGCTGAATGCCAAGTGCAAGTGTTAGCAGGAAGTACAGGACAGAGAAAATGGCTGCATTCATCCCGGAAAGATTGGACAGGCAAGGTCATGGGTGCTCAGCAGGGGACTGTCCCGTCTCCCGGGGTCTGACCCAGAGGGGCCCGAGACACCAGTGAGGGGTCTGGACAGGAGCTTCATGCCCCGACTTTGTTTCAGGCTCCTGCCAGCTGGGCTTGACACAGGAAGTGCATCATGTGTCTTGGCCAGCTAGTACTGAGGGAGCAGTGGCTGCCAGCCCTGCCCTTGACCCTGCCACCTGGGCTGAAGTCTGAATCAGGAGGGTCCAGTGTGCAAGTGGGGATGGGTGGCATCTCCCTGCACCCAGGCCTCTTGGGGCAGGGTTCTGTCTCCTGCAAGGCCCAGGCTCCGTTTCTTTGGCCATCAGGGCTCAGGAGCCTTTTGTGGGGTGGTGAGGTGCCTGTGGCCCTGGGTGGATGCTGCGTCTCCTTGGAGCGGTGCACATCTGGGTTCGAGCCTGCCCTGGGGCGTATGCGGGTCTCCAGTAGCTCCATCCCAGGAGTGGCTGTGGGAGTCCCAGAGCCTTGTAGCTGTTGGTGCCTCCCTACCCACACACCACCTTGCACACATTCTCTGCTTTTATCCCAAACCATCAGAACCCAAGACCTCAGTGGGGACAAGGGCTGAGCCGTGGTTCCTAGCTCCCAACCGTGCTCCTGAGACCCTGTTGGTCACCATTGCAGGCCACCACCATACTTGCTCTTACTTTATTGATTCTCGTGATGATGGGCAATGAGGGAATTCAGAGTCCCTCTCTTGAATCCAGGGAGGGGATGAGGTACAGGTGGTTGGTGCAGAGGCGAGACTCTCCTACTTCCAGTCTCAGGGGTCAGCAGCTCTTGAATCCAGGGAGGGGATGAGGTCCAGGTGGCAGTGATGAACCATGACTTCATCATGAGCAGATGCACCAGGAGTCAGGTTTTCCCTTCTTGGGGTAGCAGGGCACAGACAGACACCTGAGATCCAGGGCCTGGTGTCTGAAATCCTTAGGACCACCCACTGAAAAGCCTGACCACCTCATGTGGTCCAGAGGGGTGGACCTGCCTGTCCTGGCCTCCCCGTGGTGGGCACTGGGCTTTGGTGTGGGTGCACCTGGAGGACAGCAGAAGGGGCAAGCTGGGTGCTTCTTGCAGGCAGCAGGAGTGGGGGTCTGGGATTATCTGGCCCTGGAGGCCAGTGGGGCTGTGAGGGTCGGGGTAGGAGCTCCCTTGGGGGGGCCTCACCCTGTCTCTCTTCTTCGGTACTGCGGCCCCAGCTGGGAGGCTGTGGCGTCCTGGGTGTGGGTATCTGGCTGGCTGCTACACAGGGGAACTTCGCCACCCTGTCATCCTCCTTTCCGTCGCTGTCAGCTGCCAACCTGCTCATCGTCACGGGCACCTTCGTCATGGCCATCGGCTTTGTGGGCTGCATTGGGGCCCTCAAGGAGAACAAGTGCCTGCTGCTCACCGTGAGTGTGCCTGGTCCGGGGGCTGTGAGGTCTCGGCCAGCTCCACCTCTGTCCTGGCCTGAGGGGCTGTGGGGTGCTCTCAGAATGTGGTGGAGTGCAGTGGCCTGTCAACAGGACTTGGGCACGCCCTGCTACACCTGCAGCTCTGTCGGGCCTGGACCTGCCTTCAGGACCCTCCAGAGACCCTCACCTTGGTCTTACCATGTTCCCGGAGGGATGCTTCCTGGCCTGGGAAAGTGAGCTCCAGGAGGAGGCGCGTTACCACTGCCAGCTGGGTCCTCCAGCAGGGCTAGGGGGAGTCCTGAGTCTCGGGGGTTTCCTGGGTAGGGCCTGCTCAGGTCTTTGACTCACTCCCTCCGTGCCCCGCCCCGGGGAGGGGGCAGGAACACTCATGGGCCCCATAAAGTCCCAGATGAGTAAGTGGGTTTGGACCTATTTCCTGTCCCAGTGAGGACATCCCAGAGGCAGTGGAGGGCCAGAGCCTAGCTTCTCCCACTTGAGGTGTCCAGAGTGGCTGAGGGTGGAGGTGGAGGGCGCTGATCCGGGGCTCCGAGGCAAGGTTGGGGCTGAGGCCCTGCTCCCACCCTCTGCAGTTCTTCCTGCTGCTGCTGCTGGTATTCCTGCTGGAGGCCACCATTGCTGTGCTCTTCTTCGCCTACACTGACAAGGTATGGCTGCTGCAGTCCAGGCAGCAACACAGGCTGGTGGGGACTCTCCTGAGGCACAGTGGCCCCCTGGGGGGCATGGTCATTCAGGTGGCAGAGCAGCACTGCCCACTCATGGCCAGGCTGCTGGATAGCCTCTGGCGAGTGCATGCTCAGAGTGTTGGGTCACATGGTGTTGTAGCCACTGTCCCCAGCTGTGGGTTGTTTTCTTCCCACTTGGGGCTGCTATTTGTTGTGGTACTGGGGAATAGCCCCACAGGTGCTTTACCACTGAGCTGCACCCCCAGCCCTTTCTACTTTGAGACAGTCTCAACAAGCTGCTGAGGCTGGCTTTGAACTTGCAATCCTCCTGCCTCAGCCTCTTGAGTCACTGGAATTACAAGTGTGGCCACTGTGCCTGGCTACCCATTTCTAGCAGGAGGGGCTGATACCCAGGGTTGTGGTCCTAGCTTCGGTGTCCCTCTGACCCCCAGCACAGGCTTCTCTGTGGAGACCTCCCTGACTCTGGCACTACAGGATGCTCAGGGCCTACTGTCTCTACCCCAGCCGGCCCTGGAGTCTCTGCTTCCCCAGGGGCTCTGGCTCCTTCACCAGAGAATGACCTTGAGGTCAAGACCTGGGCATAGTAGCCAGGCTGTCAGCTGCAGAGCAAACCTGTCTGTACTAAGTGGACGTGTATGCCTCCACTCAGCCTGTGCTCTACCCCAGGCCCTTCAAGGCCCTGCCAGCCTGGGGATGAGGCCCTGGGGCCCTTGAGGGCTTACAGAAGGACATAAGGCTGGGAGCTGTATCCTTGGGCACGATGGGGTGGGCTCCAGGAAGTGAGAGCAGGACAAGGGCAGGGCAGGGTCTGGCTGAGGGAGGCAGTGGAGCTGGAAGGCACCCACTAGAGAGTGCTGTTGACCCCACTGCACTCCCAGATTGACAGGTACGCCCAGCAAGACCTAAAGAAGGGCCTGCATCTGTATGGCACACAGGGCAACGTGGGCCTCACCAACGCCTGGAGCATCATTCAGACTGATGTGAGGCACGGCTGGGGAGTGGGGGGGGCAAGGGCTGGAGTGGTGCCCCTTGCCTGCCCTGGCCTCTCTGGCCAGCCCCAACACACTGCTTTCCCAGTTCCGCTGCTGTGGTGTCTCCAACTACACGGACTGGTTTGAGGTCTACAATGCCACCCGTGTGCCCGACTCCTGCTGCCTGGAGTTCAGTGACAGCTGTGGGCTGCATGCGCCTGGCACCTGGTGGAAGGCGGTGAGTGCAGTCCACCCTCTGGGGCCTGGGGATGGGACAGGCAAGGCCTGGCTGACTCCACTCTCCCACAGCCCTGCTATGAGACGGTGAAGGCCTGGCTCCAGGAGAATCTGCTGGCTGTGGGCATCTTTGGGCTGTGCACAGCACTGGTGCAGGTGCGCAGGGCAGGGCCTGGGGTGGGGGGGCGGCTTTTGAGCCCAGGGAAAAGCAGCAATGGCCTTGCCCTGGGTGGCCCAAGTTTCAGGTGCAGACTCTAGGTGTCATGGGCAGATGTGGGTTCACAGAGCATGGTCAGGGGTGACAGTGGGGGAGGTGACCTTTGGTGTTTCAGATCCGGTGCTGCCAGCACTGGTCTCCTAGCAAGGGAGGCAGCGTGGTTCCTCAGCCCCAGGCTGGCAGTCATAGGACTGCCCAGTACAAGATGCCTCCTGATGCCTGTGGCCCCAGCTCCCAGTCCAGGTGGGAGCCCTGGGCATCAGCACCAGAGTGCTCCAGGATGAGGTCAGACCTGCCACCAGGGCAGCCCACCCAGCCTGGGTGACACACTCAGAAGTAGACACAGCTAGGCTGAGGCACAGGGAGCAAGCTGCAGGGGAGGGAGGGTCATGTGACCCAAGCTGCAGAACACAGTCCTTGAGTGCTGATGGGGGCCACATGGCTGAAACTCTRCAAGAAATGTGTCTCTGGGGCCTCACAGCTGGTAAGCAGGTGCTGTGCAGGAGGCTCAGAGAGGCACTGCTGCAGCAGGTCAGGGAGGGCCAGTTGCACCCGGCAGCCGAGGTCTGTGGCTCCCTTCAGCAGCCCTGCCTATCTCCTTCCTGTCCCTAGATTTTGGGCCTGACCTTCGCCATGACCATGTACTGCCAAGTGGTAAAGGCGGACACCTACTGCGCTTAGACCACGGGCCACCCTGCTTCTCTGCCAAAGGACACCACCCACCAGGGACAGGGCTGTATCCAAACCTGCCCCACACATCGCAGGACTTGGTGCTCTGCTGGGCTCAGGGGAGAGGCTGGTGCCCTGAACCCCCAGGACCCATTCCTGGAATGCTTCAGCATGGGCAGCTATGGGGTCTCCTGCCTACAGGGGAGGGGCTTTGACACTTTTTTATATCTTCCAGAGCAGTGTTCACATGGGATGGGGGTTCCGGGCCATGGTCCCCTTCGCCCAAGGACAATGGGGGAGTAGGTCTGACCTCTTGGAGACCCTGCACAGGTCCTGGTGCTCCAGACAGGCTGGGCCCCCATCATCCATGTCTGAGGGGCTGCAGCTCCAGGTGCATCCTAATAAAGTGCGTGAGCAGCCCGTGTCTCCCTGGACGCCTGCAGGATGGGCAGCCACAAGCCAACACCAGGGAAGCTCAGCATTAGCTCAGGAGGCGTGGGGCGGGGCCGGGGCGGAGGTGGCGCATCCCCACCTGCCCAGCCTGTTCTGTTTTGTCCAGAACTCTGACTTACAGTATTAAGCTTATTTGAGTTTTGCAAATGAAGTGGGTTGATGGAAAGACAGCCATTGTCAAAGGGCATGGAGTTAGAAAAATGGTTAAAATGTTTCAAACCACCTCCAGGCCAAATATCCCTCTAATGGGGTGAGAAGGAACCCCTGGCTGCAGGGAGGATGGCCTGGAGTTCAAGGTGGGCCTGAGCTCCTCCAAGGAGTTTCAATTGCGGCAGAACATCTAGCCCCTAAGCTACTCCCATAATTCCCTAGCTCCTCAGCACTGCCTTCTGGGATCCCACCCTCTCTCCCTCACCTACATACCCCCAATCCTCTGTCACCCACCTTCTGGCCATGACCTGGGAGGAAAGAACACCACCCAGGCCACTCGCAGTGCTGACACCAACCCCCCCAACCCCATGTCCCAGCTCAATGTGACTGTTCATATCCCACTGTCCTCCCTCCAGTGGGAGCTACAGGACCTCAGGGAATCTAACCAACATGGACTTGGGAGATCTGGACACAGCTAGCCATCAAAGCCACCTGTTCACACACCTGGGGAGGAAGTGAGAGCTGTCTTCAGTGCAAACCAGGGTATGGTACCCTCCCTTTTCCCAAGGCCTCAGCCATGCCCTGGGGTCCAACATAGGATCCCTCTCTGCCCATTGTGCTCGCCCCCAAACCAAGGACACCCCTACCAGACAGTTCTTGGTCACTGCCTGGCTCCAGATCCACCAATCTCCACACCCTGGCTAATACTGGCTCCCACTGACTCGCCTCCCTCTCCTCTGCCAGTCCCCGTCAATTCTGAGACAGCATCCACGTTACTTATTCTGGCTCTGGGCTCCGTCCCCAGCACAGGAAAAAAGAAACCAGAACCAGGTGTGGCTCACTGTCACCACCCACCCCCATTCTCAGTGGCCCCAGGGACCCACCCTGTTTCCACACCACCTGCTCTCGGGGACAGGTGTCTCCCTGTGCTCATCTCTGGCTCCCACGTGCACACAGGGTGATGGAGCCCACCCAGACTCAGCGGAAGGTCTTGCTGCCCTCCACTGTGACAAGTGCAGAGCTGGGCCAGGGCTTCAGAGGGGTGCCCCCACATCGAGTGCTGCAGGTAGCAGGCGCCTGGCCAGGTGACCAGTGGAGGTGCAGGCTCTCACTGCTGCCCTGTGGGAGCCATCCCCACAGAGGCCTCGAGTGCAGTTGTGGGGCAAGTGTGGGACATCCACATCTAGCCCGAAGCCTGGGAAGTGCTGGAGAGACCCAAGCCCCGAGCCCACAGCAGGCTGTGGCCAGGGCCCAGTTGGGAGGGGACAAATTCTTGTCCCAGAGTTCCTGCCAGGACAGGGATCACAGCAGACACTCACAGCAAGCAGCAGAGGCCTGTATTTCACTCAACCGGTCGCTCTGTGACTAAGAGAGTCCACGCTGCCTTGGAACTGCTGCCCAGTCTACAGCAGGTCGTAGAAGTAGTCTAGGCCCTGGCCCAGCTCCCAGATGGAGACCCCGACACCCAGCTCTCTGGCCAGCTCCAGCCGCACCTGCAGGGACTGTGGGTACAGACAGGTGTGGGCCTCGCCTAGCTCTGCACCCACACACTGGGGCAGCAGGGGAGAGTGGCCTGGGCTCCAGGGCGGGCKGGCACTGCAGGCAAGGGCCCTCATGTGGGAAGAGCTAGCACTGCTGCATCCTCCGTGTCTGACCAAAGCTTCTGTCCCACCTCCCTGGGCAGCAGCCAGCACACCTGCACATACCTTTAAGGTTGGGTAGAAGACGACGTGCCTTCCGCCACGGTTCCTGCAAGACAAGAGGAACTGTCCACCTCCCTGGCTCCAGCCAAGGCTGTGGGGCTATATTCCCCACACCCGTAAGGTCAGGGACAGACACCTGGAAGTGGTCACTTGCAGTCTGGCACTGGTCCCCACTGTTCTCCCACTCTACCCTCCCCAGGCTGGCAGTACATGCCCCACTCACTTCTTGTACTCGAAGAAGTGCTCTGCAGCCTGGCTGTCCCACACCATACGGGGCCTGTGGTCCTTCAGCGTCTGGATGTACCTGGAGGAACAGGGTGTGGGTGCAGGAGCCAGCCAGCCTCACAGCTCCCAGGTCAGAGTGCTCTGTGGGAGGCCAACCTTGGGCCAGACCCACAGGATTGCTGCAGATGAGTCATACATTTCAAGAAACACCACTGGCTCCAGAGCCACCTCAGAGAAGTCACCCCTGAGCCTTCCAACACCCTGTTCAAGAGAGGGACAGGCAGCCCCACTCAGCTGCAGCCCCAGGGCTGAGGGACTGTGGGCAGTGGTTTCAGGCCTTCCAGAGATGGCCTCCCTCTGCTGCCTGCCCACACTGTGGACAATGCTGCCCATATCCAGAGAAAGCAGGCCCTCGGAGCATCAGAAGCCAGTGGTTTGAAGACCAATGTCTCTACCCACACTGTGAAGGCTGTTCCCGAGGTGTGGGGCCAGGATGAGGGCTTCTAGAAGCTGGTGGAGGATCTAAGTCACAGTCTAGCCCATACTGCACCTTCAAAACAGGGCAGGTAGCCCCACAAGGCTCTGGGCCACCAGCACCAGGAACAGATAGATGGCTCTGGAAGCTTCTCGTCTCTCTGAAGTTGGTAGTCTGTGCAGGAGGAGGACCCTCTCTGGTCCAGATGGCAAGATCGGTGCTTGCCGTGCGAGGACACAGTGCACAGGGCACCTACCTGGGCTGCAGCCGAGGGAGGAGCCTGTGCCTTGGGCTATGGGGAGCGGACATCTGCAGGATCTGGGGTTGGCTAGCACAGGGGCTACCTTGTGACCCTGAGGCTCCGAAGGGGAGGCTTGCTAGCCTCCAGGGACTCTTCCAGACCACAGGAGCTGTCACCTTGTGCAGCAGTGCTCTGAATGCCAGAGCCTGGGAGGGTGTGGCTTAGAAGCCACTGTGGGGTCAGGCCTCCCAGGCCCCAGCAAAACATGGGAAAGACACTGGGAAGGGTGGGTACAGAGTATGGCTGGGACCAGACCACTGACATACCACAGCCTCCCAGACCCAAACTGAACCTCCTCCAAGTGCCTGTAGCCAGAGCTCCCCCTTCCTCCAGAAGGTCATCCTGCCTGGTGGCACAAGCAGCCCTGCACCACGGCTGTGGGCACTCACTGAGCCCAGAGTGCTTCACCACTGGGTTACACCTGCAGCTCTTGAACTTGTGGTCCTCCTGCCCCAGCCTCCTGAGTAGCCAGGACGATTGGTGCATGTGCCACTGCACCTGTGGGCACTTTTTACTCAGTCTGTGCAACACCGGGCCTTTCTGCTTCTCACTGACCTTTCTGGAATCCCCTCTAGTTCAGGCCCTGACAATGTCTAGCAGCCACTGGGGGGATGGGGTGCCTGGGGAGTTGAGGGGTTTGAGGGGTCTGCTCCCATGAGATGTAGCAGGCGCAGCCTGGGCCCAGCACACAGCTCTGCCTGCCTCATTTCTGCCCCCACCCCCTTAATTACAATACCACGAAAGCGCTGATGCAGCTGACTGCCTTTGATCTATCTCTCCTAGATGGCTTAGAGGGAGGAATCTGGGATGTGTGGGGTCACTGAAGGACAGGTGGCTCTCATGCCTGTGCAGAGCTGTGGCCACATACTGCTCCTCTTGGGGGGCCTCTGTGGCCACCCTCGCAAGATCTGCTACCCCCTGGAGGAGGTGAGTGGGCAGCCAGGACCCCTGGGAGCACTAGGTTCCTCCTATCAGGAGGTCACAGTAGAAAGACACTCCAAGAGGGCTGCAGGAAGATGCCTGGAGCAGGGGCCACCCAGACTTGTGGTTCTTGAGCCAGGGCACCCCTGCCCCAACACTGCATAAGCAAGGTCTGGGCTTGGGGTCTTGTTCACATGAGACCCCTGAAGAGCATGGTCAGCTTGGAAGATGAGCTCCACCTGATGGGCCAGGCTCCTAAGAGGAACAGAAAGGGTCACACATGCCTTTGGGAGGCAACAGGTGCTGGCCTGGCCACAGCGAGGGGGGTGGGGGAAGCCAGGCATGCTGGGTGAAAGGCTTGCCTGGAAGGAAGGAGCGGATGGATGGAGGATGCAAAAAAGGCAGAGGAAAAAGATGCCCAGAGGACAGGGGTCAGGAACTGTGATGGGCATCACTGGAAGCTCCCAGGAAGGGAAGAGTAAAGGGACAGCAGATATCTAAGAAGCAAGCTGGGTACAGTGGGACCCAGCACTCGAGAGGCTGAGGTCGGAGGACTGCTGGAGCCCAGGAGTCAGAGGCCAGCCTGAGCAACACAGCATGGCCCAATTCAAAAGAAGTGAGGGTTGAGCATTTCCCTGAACTACGACCAAGGCCTCAGCCACATGTTGAGTCCACTCGTGGGCAATGTCCGAATCAGGCAAGCCCAGAGGGACACGGTACAGGCTAGAGAGTGGCAGGCTGGGGTGAGGAAGCCTTCAGGAACTGGATGGTGGTGGGGGTGGCACAGCCCTGGGAGGTACTGAGCACCCCAGAACTGCACCCTTCAAAACGGGGAAGTTATGCACTTGGATTACACTCTCCCTAAGTTACAGACCTTGCATTCAAAGGGTGAGGAGTGTCAAACAGATCTTATTCCCAGAAAACCTATCTAGACAGGCCAGCGGCCCTCAGCGATCACCAGGGACAAAGAGGACACCCTACATGTCCAGGGAGAAAGACATGCTTGGGCCCCCCCATGACCTGGGTATCTCCATGGAGACCAGCTTATGGAACTCCTGGAGAAAGCTCTGCAGGAAGGGAAGGCCGGACCATGGACAGAGGGCTCAGCCCAGAGCTTAGGGATTCCTCCACGGTCTGCAGGCAGACAGAAGACAAGGAAACCAGCCTGGGACAGTGGACGACCACCCAGGACCAGATCCACAGCAGAGTCCTGGGCCTCCCGTGGCGGGGCCTGTAGCCGGGGCACGGCTCTGGGCTGCAAGTCCACACACCAGCTGAAATGGCGGCCCCAACCCTTCCTAGCCAAGCGGGATCTCAGCAATCTCGATCCCACAGAAGTGGAGAGGGTCCACTGGGGGCTGACCTGCTGCTTGACACGCCACCAGGACTGCACCAATGGAAAAGGGCTGGGAGTGCCCCAGTAAGGCAGGGCCAGACATCTCCAATGCCCTAAAACTGGCTGGGGCCAACTCCATGGCCTCGGTCCAGTGGGAGCCCTGGTCACCCACTAAGGCATCCCTTCTTGGTGATGAGATTCTGCTCAAAGGAAGCCTTGATGAGGCCAGCGCCATGGGCTGTCCACGTGGAGCTGGTGGGCAGCAGGTGGTCTTCTCTTTGGATCTGCCCAGGAGAAAGACAGAAGCCAAGAAGCAAGATGACTGACCAGGATGTAGTGGGACATCATGCCCACATGCAAAGCAAGCACAGGCTGAGCAAGGAGGGTTCAGGGTGGCATCAAGATCTCAGCAGGCCATGGTTGAAGACTTCCCTGGGCCAGGTGGGAGGGGGCAGAATGAAAGCCACATGCCTCCCCCTCACCTGTACCCAGGAGCAGAATCCACACCAGTGGTAGAAACTTCTTGCCCAGGATGGAAATGGTTACCAGATACCTATAAGGAAACCTGCCTGGGGACATGGTGGATAGAGAGGAGCCAGGTGGTACTTCCCTTAGGGCTGCCCCTCTCAACTACTGCCTGGGCCTGCTGGCTTCCACAGGATCATGAAGTAACTGCTGACTTCTCCCTGTGAGGTGGGCATCAGCAAGGCTGCCCGGAGGATGCCACACTTCCCAGCCAGCTGGCTCACCACTGGGAAACAGCTCCATATCCAAGGGGCGGAGGGCTACCCCACCTAGGTGCACCTTCCTTGGGGCAGGGGTGAGTGGATAGCCGTCCAGGAAGGGCCTGAGAACCTGTGGGTATGGTGATGTCACCAATCCGGCTCTGCTGAGTCAGCCAAACATAGGGACAGGCAGGAACACCTGACCCTGTTTCTCCTTCTGTGAGGGACATTCCCAGCTCAGAACACACAGCCCCTGTGGGAGGAGACAGGACCTGTGTGGCAGGATGGACCCTGGTGCTGCCAGCCACCCTACTCTGCACCTGGGCCTGGTGGGAGCCAGGAAGAGCCTCTGGACAGTGGGAGACATCTCAGCCCACCAGGGTAGTATGGGGCACTGGGCAGCAGGAGATACACAAACTGGCACCAGACCCACTCCTGGGGGACATGGATTCTCAGTGGAGGAAGCCCAGACCACTTTAAAGATAGGGAATGACCAGGGCTCCCCCAGGAGCTCTGACCACAGTCACGGCTGCTGGCATGAAAGAGCTGGTCAATTGCCCCAGCATGGCTCCTGGCTCTATGGTCACGCAGATGGCCAGACAGCTGGCCCTGATACCCTGGGAGGGCCCTGGAGCCAAGCTGGAGGCCAAGACAGGTTGGCAGATCATCTGAGAGGCTGCCTGGACTATTACCAAGAGGCTACTTAATTCTCAAAGAATTGGGGCACTCGTGTTGATGAGACTCGTCCATGCCTCACGTCTGGCTGTCCCCTGTATGAAGGGGCTGTGGGCTGCCTCCTGGTGAGCTGTTTGGGTAGGGGAACTGATCCTTGAGCAGACATGTGCCTTATCCCCTCCCTGCCCTCTAAAGAGAGAGATGGCCCTCCCCTCACAAACTACATCTGCCTGTTTCTGTTGACCTCTCCCATCTGGATTTGCCTCCATCAAAAGGACTGGCCCAAGGGGGAGGGCTGCTGCCCACTGTGGAAGGCTGTGACTTATGACTCCAGGTCCCCAGCTCCTGCCTGGAGGAAATCAGGTAAAGAGGGACCATGGAAAATTCTGGTTGCCAGCAGGGCCCTACCTGCAATGGGCTCCCCAACCCATGCAAAAGTCTCAGGGGAGTCCACTGCAGATGGGCAGTAAATGAGGGTACACTGGAAGGAAATAAGAGAAGCATCACTGCCCACTTGCTCACTATGACTGGGAGGGTCAGGGCTGCTGAGTAGGGTGCACAGGGGTGCATGGCACCGCTGTGCCAAATCAGAGCTGGAAACCAGTGTACAGAGCAGTCTGCTGGGTTACCAACTCCCATCAACTGT